AAGCTAAAAAGAAATTGTAGATCTAGACAATGCAAAAAGCTAGATCTAAACCAAAATCCTGAAAGGAAAGAATAAAAGAAAGGAAATGGAAAAAGTTAGATTTAGACGATGCAAAAGCTAGATCTAAACCAAAATCCCAAATCCAAGCACTCCTCAGGGATAATCAAAGGTGCCCCTCACTCACAATATTATATTCCACTTTGAAAGAAGAATTGAAAAAATAACTATATACATATGTTTTTTCATAGAAAATTATCAAATTTCTTAAAAAGAATTATAAGATCTAAATAACACAGCAAATCTCCACTACAAAAGGTTGAATGTTAATGCTGATCAATTGGCCACCTCCTATTGGCTAAGAGCAAACATTAACATCATTATTCATGATTATTTGAGACCAGGCGGGTGTTTCAAAAAAACCCAATGAAGAATCTTGTCAGCTGGAATGTTGCTATTGCAGCAATTGCCATGGCTGGGGATCTGGAGGAGGCATGGTGATTGTTTGATGGGATGCCTTTCTACAGTCTCATGTCATGGATAACAATGATCACTGCCTATGCAGATTGTGGAATGGTTGATAAAATGAAAACTTTTTTCTTGCATTGGCACATAGAGACATCATCTGCTGGAACACGATGCTTTTGTGCTATGCCCAAAACTGGCATCTGGAGGAAGCCAGTGCCCTCTTCAATGAGATGCCAGAGCGAGATGTTTCATCATATACAACAATGATATCAGTTTTGGCATCAAAGAATGATTTAGAAAATGTGAAGGATCTATTTGATTCTATGCCATTATGAACTATAGCCTCTTGGAACTCTATGAATATGGCAAATGCCACAAATGGGCAAATGGCGCCTCTTGGATGCAATTGCAAAGTCTGGGAGGATCAACGATGCAATCATGATATTTCATAGACAGAACCTGACGATCACAGCAATGGGTTCTCGTGGCGATATCCGTGAGGCTCAAGCTCTCTTTGCCATGATGCCACAGAGAAACCCTGTCTCCTGGAGCACAATGATTAGAGCGTATGCACAGTAGGGACTGGCTATGGACACAAAGATTTTGTTTGATTCCATAGAGTCGCACAACACGGTCGTGTGGAACTCACTCCCTAGCTGCCTACCTCGCAAGTGATTGAGTGGGCAATGCTAGAAAGTGTTTGATTCCATGCCTGATCGAGACATGGTATTGTAGACATTGATGATCTCCGCCCATGCCACATGATGTGGCCAGATGTGCACTCTTCAATTCCATGCCATGGTGTGTTGTTGCGGCATGCAATGCAATCATCTCTGGCTACATGAGGAGCAGCAATCTCGATGAAGCGCAGCTCCTCTTTGGCCTGATGCCCCATCACAATGTCCTGACGATCAATGCCATGGTCACAGCACTTTGGTGGCAGGATTGAGCAAGCCAAGCTCCTTTGTGATCGATTTGCATCGCCCAACTCTGCAATCTCCATGCTCAAGGACTAGGCGAGACATATGCTCAGTCTGGGAGGATCAAGGAAGCCAGGGTGCTGTTTGATCACTTGAGCCTGGAGAGTTGGGACTGTAGTGCGATCAGAGCAATCATCAATGCGTATGCCTGGATTGTGGATGTCACAAAGGTGCGGCAGATCTTCTCTCAAATCAAGCTACAATGCCATGATTGCAGCATTGGCCTTGAATAGGCCTTTGCGCAAGACTCCTCTCTAGTGTGAGAGAGCAGCACAGTGTTATGGAACACCATCCTCACGAGTTACATCCAATTCAGCCATCTTGGCCCCGTGATTGCAATTGCGATCTTCCACGCCATGCCGGATCCAAATCTAGTCTCTTGGACAGCAGTGATCACTAGCATCGCCCACAATCCCAGATTGCATTGATGGGTGCTGGATCTTTTCCGTGAGGTCCAGTAGGAGGGCTGGAACTCCAGCAAGATCTGCTACAGAACACATGTTGCTGCACCTTCCTCTCCCACCCCACGCAGCTTGGCCACCTCCCATTAGCCAGGAGCAAACATCAGTGTGATTATTCACAAACACGTGGTTAAAAAAATAACCCCTTTACAGTCCCCCCCCTCCCCCATCAGATGGCTGCAGATGGCTGCGATTGGCTGGATCTGGCAGCCCAGAAAGTTTAGCAACTCCTGATAGACTTCTTGAAGAGTGCATTCTTGAGAGCTTGAGCAGCTGAGGGGCAATTTTTTGCTGCTGGATGCATTAGAGACTTGATGAAGCTCTAGAATGCAAAAGAGAATCCAGGAAGAAGAGCGAGCTTTCCCTGGTGGATAGCTTGATACTGCCTAGATGTTGGTGGTGGCGAGCATCTCGTGAGCTTGTAGAATGTCGCCCTAGGGAAAACATGTCAACTTTCTCGAGGTGGCTGTGATCAGCTCCCACACTAAGCCCCCATGCGACTGATCTCAAGTTGCCATCCTCGATGGAAATGGTTCCATTGATTCAACTGGCAAGGCCTAAGTTGCCAATCTTGTAGACACGATTGCAGATGTAGATCTTGTCAAGCTTCACATCCAGGTGAGTGAGGCCATGCAAGTGTAAGTGCTTGAAAGTGTTTAAGAGCTGTCATAAGAAAAGAACAAAATTGAGCTGCTTACTTGAAACATTGCCTTAGTCAACTTCTTCTCCGTGAATGTCCATGCAAGGCTCTCATCTCACCATTTGGATATATAAAAGTCATTCCCAAACCATGAAGAGAAGTAGCACATTATGTTGCCATGAAAGTTTTCATGGCAACCTGGAAGCTGGATAAGTTTTGAGGAAGCTAGTGGTAATACTGAAAGAAAAAAGCCAACTCACCATGACACAAAAGTGCCTAAACTTCTCTCAGTGCTTTCCTCTTGCAAAGAGAAAAATTTGCCAAATCAATACCATTGTCTCTCGAATATAGTGACAAACCAATCTCCCTCATTTAGCAGATGTCAATTGGAATGCTTTACAGCATAAAGGCAGCCATCAAGTCTTTTGAGAACTTTATAAACATAGCTAAAATTGCCTCATCCTATTTCCTGACAATAGAGTAAGAATGAAGATCATACAAATTCTACACACCATAAATACCTTGATTTGATGGAACTCCTCACGGTAATGCAATGAAGAGCCAAAAGTGGAGACACATCCTGTATGATGAAAGAAAAATGAAAAATAACAACATACCCTGCTTAGCTCTCTCAGGAAACACATCAGTGTTAAAAAAAGGTTCTAGAAGCATGGTGGGGACATGACGTGCTGTTGCAGAGACAATGTCTTTGCATTCTCTGCTTCTTGGTTCAAATATTCATCTAGGAAAAGAAGAACAAAACAAAAAAAAGCCAAGTGATGGGGAAAAAAAGTGAGAACTTGTGATGGGGTTCTCAAGAGCAAAGACACCACAAAGTATTGGAAAAACCAAATCAGGATAAGAATGAACTCTTGGCATTTGAGAAGAAAAAAAGAAAGTAAAATGGAAGACATTAAAAGAAAGTGTGGACACAAACAGTACCAGGACATGGTTTGTTCCAATGGCATTGACACAGCACCTCAGATTTGGATCACAAATCGGCAGCAGCAACAAGGTCATAAACCCTAGAAAAACATTACAAAACAAAAACAATTCACTCAACATGCAACAGGCACAGTCACAGTCAGCCTGCTCTCCACATTGGATAGCTGGCAAGCAATCACCTAGCAGGAATAGCAATGGCAACCTATTATTCACAGTGCTTTCTTCACTCGACAATCAACACCTTGCATGTGACATATGGTGCAATTGCCCCACACAGCTTGGCTGCCTCTCATTGGCCAGGAGCAAACATCAGCACAATTATTCACTAAGAGATGCTTAAAGAAATAACCCCTTTACAATTACCCCCCATCGGATGGCTGCAATTAACTAAATCCAATGGTCCAGAAAGTTCAGCACTTCCTCATTTGCTAGAAGTTTAAACACTACCTTACATCCTTCTCGTCTGCCTTCTTGGCAATTGGTCGAAGAGCCATGTTATAAAAAGGCGACCCTTCATCCAATTAAACCTCAGTCCATTTGCATTTCTAACTTTTCTTCTCAATTTTCCATCTAGCCATGGCTTGTCACGATCAAGATGTAACACTGCTCAGCTTTTGGCCCAGCCCCTTTTCCATGCGAGTCAAGCTTGCACTGTTGCTCAAGGGCATCGAGCACGAAGATCTCCCCCAGGATTTGGGTAACAAGAGTAAGCTCCTACTCGAGTCCAATCCAGTTCACAAGAAGGTCCCGGTTCTCATCCACAAGGGCAAGCCCATCGCAGAGTCGGCCATCATCGTCCACTACATCGACGAGGTTTGGCCTGGAACATCGCCACTCTTGCCGCAGGACGCATTCCTCCGCGCACAGCACCGCTTCTGGACTGATTTCTTCGAGAAGAAGGTATTTCTTCGAGAAATTTGCTGCTATAACTCTTCTTGCTTATCGATCACGCAGATTTCCGACTCCTTGGACCGATTCATCCGCAGCAACGGCGCTGCCGTGAACGAGGAGTTCATCCAAGACTGTTTGCTTCTCGAGGGAGCTCTGGCGGAGCTGGGCGATGAGGAAGAGGGCCCCTTCTTTGGTGGCGCGAGCATGTCGTTCTTGGATGTGATGCTGGCACCCTCTGCGGTGTGGATCCCAGCGCTTGAGCAAGTGATGGGCTTGAAGCCCGCGAGCCAGGAGCAATGCCCGCGTCTCCACAAACTCTTCGGGGCTGTGACCGAGCATCCCTCGGCCAAAGTGGCACTGCCACAGATCGAGAAGCTCAAAGAGTTTACCCAGGCTCGCTTAGTGAGCAAGTGAGCGATCATCATGTTTGGACAGCCCTTAGTACAAAAAGGCTGATGTTTACCTCTAGTTCTGTCGAAAATGAAGCGCGAGCATGGAGATTGGGATTTTCAGATCCAAGAAGGCCACAGCCCAAGAAGGTCAAAACGAAAGTTTACTACATGTATTCTACCGCCACCTCTGGATCCAAACAAGCCAACGTTGGTTTTGGACATGGACAACACCCTCATCCATGCCCGACAGGGGCAACGCTCAGGCTCTTCAGCGGGAAAGTTGTGCGACTGGAGCGCTTGGCTAAGCGGCCCGGCGTGGACGAGTTCCTGTGAGACATGGCAAAGCTCTACAAGATAGTTGTGTTTACTGTGGCTATGCAGTACTATGCAGACAAGATTCTGGACAAGCTTGACCCAGAGGAATTGATCACTCACCGCCTGTACCGGTGTGTCTTGCAAAGGAGGGGAAACGATGATCAAAGACTTGTCACACTTGGGTCGCAACTTGAAGCGTGTGGTGATCCCCACTCCTTTTCCTTGCAGCCCAGGAATGGAATCCCCATCCCAGCTTTGATTTTTCTTGCGTGTCGATCGAGCCCCTTATATTCTTCCAGGAGTCGAAGCTCCGAGTAATAGCCTGGATTGTCCAGACTCCAGTCCCGAGTTCTCGATGGATCCCCGTAAGTGTTCTTTGCTTTTATTTTTTCTTTCTATTCGTGTGTCTCACCATATGATCTTCCAGTTTGGCTTTGAGAAGCATAGCGTTCTTTCAACGTGTGCAAAAGCAAAACCACCGGGTGTAGTGGCAAGACTTATGGGTCTCGAGACAATGCCGGTGGAGACAATGGGTGACATGCTTAAGAGGAACGGCTCTTCGTTGGAAAGGGCGAAGATGATAGAAGCTGTCTCGCGCAAACTCTTGAGACACAGTCGCAAGAAGCTGGCCAGTTTTCAAGAGTCACAAAGTCAGTGCTGGGCGAGACTTTCCGGGAGGGAACAACACCGAATTACTCTCCGAGGGTTACGCACCGATCCCGGCAGCTTTTGGAAGCGATGCGGTCTCTCGAGCCGAGTAAGGACAGCTTTCTCCAGTTTGAAAGTCCAGTGGAGCCTGTGAATGAGGAGCCTTAGAAGACGCCAACTCTTCTCCATCTCTTGTTGAACGGACATGAAGGGCAACGTGCTGAAACTCGAAAGAAAGTCTCTATTGACAATGGTTCGACGAGGATTGTAGTTTTGAAGCCTGGTCCGGCAAAGGGAAGACAAGAAACAGGGTCCTGCTCTCCACCAGTACATGCTAGCACAAGAGAAACTAGACAATTTCACGAGAAGGTGATGATCAACAAGCCGCACTCTCCAGATTTTCGGGAAACAACCAGCAACAAAGTCTTTGAAACGCAACCGCGATTTCACAGGGAGGAGTTTGAGGCTGTCACCGAAACCAAAACGCAGCAGCAGTCTGCCAGGGAGTTCGTTATACATCGCCTCAGAGATGGCTCCAAGGATGCGAAAGAAATCGCTCAAGAGATCGCCAGGAAGGCTCGGGAGAGTGCTTTCAGAGACGTCAGCTCGCATTTGCCTTCGCCGGAACGGACGCCACTGGACATCCAAGACGCTTCCACTCCGACGCTGAGACGATATATCAGTTGCCACCAAAGTTTGGAAAGTGCGAATCTTACGACTTCTTCGCCAGCATACCAAACGACGCCAATAAAACTTTCGAGAAAGCAGGCTCTCGTTGACGAAGACCGGCCTGGAGACACGCTAGAACAGAGAACCTTTTCTGAAGATTATGATACACGACTGGCGCCTCAAGTTGAAATCGTAGAGGTATGGTTTCCAAGGTGGTCTTTCTCTCGATGACGAATTTTTGCAAATGCGAGCGAGACGTTGCAGCAGACAAGTCCAGTATCTATTTTGGAACTTCGCAAAAGACACTCGGGAGGTAATGCTACCTATGAACAAGGTTTCTTTTATCTGAATTAACGTGGCGTCCTTGCAGAAACTCGTCGAGTTTTAAAAGCACCGAATCGGGGAGTAAACACAGGGAAACCTGTGGCTGACACTCGTCTAGCAGATCTTGTCTACGTTTCTAAGGTACTTTTGGCGTCCAAGAATCCGCCCCTTTATGAGTGTGACAGTCGAAGGCCTGTGGCTATTTCTCAAGCTTTTCAGACGCTGGAAGCAGACTATCAAGGAAGTCCTGACAATTTATCTCATCGCCGGTTTCTCTTCGACGTCGTCAACGAGATTTTGGCTCGGAAGTCTTGTAAGCCTTCGAGCCGGGGACTTCTGCGAGACGTTTGGAGTGAGATATGCCATAACACAGGCCTCCAGCAGCAGTCAGTCGAAGGCCTTCACCAGGGAGATGTTAGTAAAGAGGCAAACTGGGCAGGCACAGAGGAGGAGCTACAGAGAATAGCAGTGCTAATTGCGAAGGAGATTTTCAGCTTTCTACTGGATGACGCTGCCAGAGAGTTACTGAAGGCAGGAACCTGCGACAAGTGTCCACTCGTTTTCCCCGAGACGGAAGAATGATTCTTTCCGGAAAAAGCCAACGTGGAAGGGCGAGGAACGGGCTTCGATGTGTCAGCTGGCCTACTCCACCAAAATATAGCGCTTCAGGTTCGTTCTTTCTTCTTCGTAGAACTCGAGAGAAATTGCATTGACAATATGATGTTTGCAGGCAAACCACATGTGGTACTCGTCCCGTATCCTGCTCAGGGGCACTTTTCGCCAGTTGTGTTCCTCGGCAAGAAGCTGGCAGAACTCGGATGCGCAGTTACCATTGCCAACGTGGTTTCCATTCATGAGCAGATCAAGGTATGGGATTTTCCTTCGGAGTTGGATATCAGGCTGGAGCCTCTTCATCCCGCGGTGGATTTGTCGAAAGGAGTTCTCGCTGCTGCAGAAGCTGATCTAATACGCTTTTCAAGAGCAGTTTACGATCTCGGCGGCGAGTTCAAGAATTTGATCCAAGCTCTGAATGACAGTGGACCTCGCGTTACCGTCATAATCTCTGATCACTATGCTGGATCATGGTGTGCTCCAGTTGCCAGCGAATTTGGAATTCCATACGCTGTTTACTGGCCTGGAAGTGCGGCTTGGTTTGCTGTTGAGTACCACGCCCCACTGCTTATTTCGGAAGGCGATCTTCCGATAAAAGGTTTGTCTTTGTCAACTCTTATAGCTCTAAATCTTTGTCTTGTTTAAAATCAGATGGCGAGGACCGAGAAATCACTTACATTCCGGGGATAGACTCGATCAAGCAGTCTGATCTTCCATGGCACTACACGGAAGCCGTCCTTGAGTACTTTCGTGCTGGAGCCGAGCGACTCAAGGCGTCCTCCTGGATCCTGTGTAACACATTCCACGAGCTGGAGCCCAAGGTGGTGGACGCGATGAAGAAGCTTTTCAACGACAAGTTTCTGCCAATCGGTCCCTTGTTCCCGGTGCTGGATGATCACGGCGACTTGAAGTCCGTGCTGAGCTTTCTCAAGGAGGACAGGGAATGCCTCGACTGGCTCGACACGCAGCCAGACTCAGTCCTCTATGTCGCATTCGGCAGCATAGCGAAGCTGTCGCAGGAGGAATTCGAGGAGCTCGCGCTCGGTTTGGAGGCGAGCAAGGTGCCGTTCTTGCTCACAGTCAGGCCGCCCCAGTTCGTGGACGAAGCAGACACGACAGTCCTGGTGAAGAACAGTGACTTCTACAAGAACTTCGTCGAGCGGACCAAGGGACGAGGCCTGGCGGTTTCATGGGCGCCGCAGAGAGAAGTTCTGGCGCACAGGGCAGTGGCTGGATTCGTGAGCCACTGCGGATGGAACTCGGTCCTGGAGAGCGTCTCCAGCGGCGTGCCGATCATCTGCTGGCCTCGGATATACGAGCAGGGGCTCAACTGCAAGATCATGGCGGAGAGGTGCCGCATCGGGGTGGAAGTTTCGGACGGGAGGAGCTCCGACGCGTTTGTGAAGCGGGAGGAGATTGCTGAGGCCATTGCGAGGATCTTCAGCGACAAAGCTCGAAAGGCGAGAGCGAGGGAATTCAGGGACGCGGCGAGAAAGGCAGCGGCACCGGGTGGTGGCTCTCGGAATAACCTGATGCTGTTCACAGACTTGTGTTCTACCGACACTCGATCGTGGTGATCTACCAGTGCAAGATCTCAGTTGACAGAATCAAATTCTTCTGCTATCTTGAAGCCGGGATTCCAAGGATCTTTCTAAATCAAACAGTGAACAAGCTCGGGACAGCCCCGGGTGGTGGGCTTGGGAATAACCTGGTTAAAACCTTAAGTGTTCTACCGACATTCACGAAGATCTCTTCTCGAATATCTCTTCCCAGTCAATCGTAGGTCCAAATTATGTTCTGGAACTCTCCTCGCTCCCCGTGGATCACACGGACTATATAAAGCGCGACTCCAACAAACCTTTCTCCAGCCTCTCGCATTTCCAGATCTTTCTTCTAGATTTCCATTTCCAATGGCTTCTAGTGATCAAGATGTAACACTGCTCAGCTTTTGGGCCAGCCCCTTCTCGATGCGAGCCAAGCTTGCACTGTTGCTCAAGGGCATCGAGCACGAAGATCTCCCCCAGGATTTGGGCAACAAGAGCAAGATCCTACTCGAGTCCAATCCAGTTCACAAGAAGGTCCCGGTTCTCATCCACAAGGGCAAGCCCATCGCAGAGTCGGCCATCATCGTCCACTACATCGACGAGGTTTGGCCTGGAACATCGCCACTCTTGCCGAAAGACGCATTCCTCCGCGCAGAGCACCGCTTCTGGACCGATTTCATCGACAAGAAGGTATGTTCTATAAATCTCGAGAAATCTACTCGATCTCATGCCTTTGCTTGTACAGCTGCTGGACTGCTTGATGCGTTTCGTGCGCGGGAACGACAAAGATGCCGCAAACGAGGAATTCATCGCCAACTGCGTGCTTCTCGAGGGGGCCTTGACGAAGCTGGGGAGTGAACAAGAGGGTCCCTTCTTCGGCGGCGCGAGCTTCTCCTTCTTAGATGTGATGCTCGCTCCCTACGCCCCCGGGGTTGTGGGAGTGATGGGCTTGAAGCATGCCAGCGAGGAGCAGTGCCCGCGTCTCCACAAGTTCTTCGAGGCCGTGTCCGAGCATCCCGCTGCCAAGGGCGCACTGCCCCCGGAGGAATTAATCCGAAATAAGTAGAAACCTTTGCCATATCTTGATTGAGCATATTGATAGCTAAAACATTGATCAGATAACATAATGACAATGTCACTACTGTTTGGATTGATCGCATTCTAGAATTCTACTGTTCTCTCGAGACCTCATTTTCCAATCCATTCCGGATCCATGGAAGGCGTGACGCTGCTCAGCTCCCGGGTGAGCCACTTTTCTCTGCGAGTAAAGATTGCATTGCTACTCAAAGGCATCGAGCACGATGATCTCCCCCAGGAGGGCCAGCTCCTGCTCGAATCCAATCCAATCCACAAGAAGGTCCCGGTTCTCATCCACAATGGGAAGCCCATTGTGGAATCGGTCATTATTGTTCAGTTCAGTAGGTCTAGCGCGGAGAATCTCCACTGCTGCCTCCGGACGCTCTCCTCCGCGCAGAGTATCGCTTCTGGACGGATTTCATCTACAAGAAGGTATGCGTCTCTAGAGCCACACATCCCTGATGTGATCCATGGCACAGCTTCTGGATTGCTTGATGCGATTCATGCGTGGAGACGCCAAGAACGAGGAGTTTATCGAGAACTGCGAGCTTCTGGAGGGAGCATTCACGAAGCTGGGCAATGAGGAAGAAGGCCCATTCTTTGGCGGAGCGAGAATGTCGTTCTTGGATGTGATGCTCGCCCCCTACGCGGTGTGGATCCCAGGGATTGTGGGCGTGATGGGCTTGAAGCCCGCGAACCAGGAGCAGTGCCCGCGTCTTCACAACTTCTTCCAGGCCGTGCTCGCGCATCCCGCTGCCAAGCTCGCGCTGCCCACAGTCGAGGCGCTCAAAGAGTTTCTCGTGGCTCGCTCCGCGGTGTACAGAGGAAAGCGATAGAGAGAAAAAAGAATATGCTTAATTTTATTAGAATATTCTTTTACGTGGTAGAGTACATTACGTATCTAAGTCCGTCTGCCTTCTCGGAAATTCACATACGAAACAAGCCCACTCTTGCCGCAGGACGCATTCCTCCATGCATGGCACCATTTTGGACCGATTTCATCAACAAGAAGGGACGCTTTCTCTCCAGAGTGCCAAATCCTTGGTATGATCTATCCCACAGCTTGTGTGGAGACAACCAAGGTTAGCCATCTCTTGAAGGCAAACATCTTAGATTTGGTGCACTTTTTATTTAGTGTTTTTCTTTGATTTGAAACTTGGCAAATGGTCATCGCCCAATCTGTGATCTCTCTAGAGATTTTCTGAAGAGCACAAAATGGCAGACCTCCAAATGCACACACAAATGAGAGCAATAGGACAAGTATTGCAATCGCTTCCAATGTTCATGGTTTGTGGAACATACTCTGGTTTGCCAGAAAAAAAGAGACCAATAGTAGAAACATTGTTGTAAGCACTCAAGTGAAGCGAGACATTGGCGACAGTTGATTGAGATATCAATCTTTTGGGTCAGATCATCAGATAAAACTCACAAACGGAAGAATGCTCCAGCAGAAAGGTCAAACGTTGTGGCACATACCCCATAAGTGGTTTCATAAATATAATGTCATGCTACCAAATTTTGTTTCCCGAAAAAGAAAAAAAACAATATTATTTCCCACTAGTTATTGCCCAACATATGCTGCCCAGTTAGCAAACATTATTTTGATTATCATAGTTTTTATTACATTAAAAATTAAATTAAAATAGTATTAAAATAACATATATTATATTCCACTTTGAAAGAAGAATTGAAAAAATAATTATATGCATATGTTTTTTCATAGAAAATTATCAATTTCCTTAGAGAGAATTATAAGATCTAAATAACACAGCAAATCTCCACTACAAAAGGTTGAATGTTAATGCTGATCAATTGGCCACTTTCTATTGGCTAAGAGCAAACATTAACATCATTATTCATGATTATTTGAGGCCAGGCAGGTGTTTCAGAAAAATCCAGTGAAGAATCTTGTCAGCTGAAATGTTGCTATTGCAGCAATTGCCATGGCTAGGGATCTGGAGGAGGCATGGTGATTGTTTGATGGGATGCCTTTCTACAGTCTCGTGTCATGGATAACAATGATCACTGCCTATGCAAATTGCGGAATGGTTGATAAAATGAAGACTTTTTTTCTTGCACTGGCACATAGAGACATCATCTGCTGGAACATGATGCTTTTGTGCTATGCCCAAAACTGGCATCTGGAGGAAGTCAGTGCCCTCTTCAATGAGATGCCAGAGCGAGATGTTTTGTCATATACAACAATGATATCAGTTTTGAAATCAAGAAATGATTTAGAAAATGTGAAGGATCTGTTTGATTCTATGCCATTACGAACTATAGCCTCTTGGAACTATATGAATATGGCAAATGCCACGAATGGGCAAATGGCCATTGTTTTCTTTGAGATGCCCGAGTGGGACTGTTGCTCGTGGAACAGCCTCCTGGGTGAGATTGCAGAGTCTGGGAGGATCAACGATGCAATCATGATATTTCAGAGAATCCCTTTCAGAGACACAACCTGATGATCACAGTAATGGGGTCTTGTGGCCATATCCATGAGGCTCAAGCTCTCTTTGCCATGATGCCACAAAGAAACCCTGTCTCCTGGAGCACAATGATCAGAGCTTATGGACAGTAGGGACTGGCCATGGACACAAAGATTTTTTTTGATTCCATAGAGTCACATAACACGGTCGTGTGGAACTCACTCCCTGGCTGCCTATCTCGCAAGTGATTGAGTGGGCAATGCTAGAAAAGTGTTTGATTCCATGCCTGATTGAGACACGGAATTGTAGACATTGATGATCTCCGCCCACGCCACATGGGGCCAGATGTGCACTCTTCAATTCCATGCTGCAGTGTGTTGTGGCTGAGACAAATCAGGATCAAAGCGCACCGTGCTAGCGGACTGAACAGGAAAACCCTAATGTCTACGTGGTGAGGTGTGTTGTGTAACACTCCCCCCCAAACTGAAGCCACTCACCAAACCAAATCTGTTGCATAGGAGCTGAAACTGGTGTGGCCCCAACGGCTTGGTGAGAAGATCGGCTGGCATGTCCTATGTCCCGAGATGTTGGACGGCCAAGGTGCCACCATCAACCAACTCACGCACGTAGTGAAATTGGACTTCAATGTGCTTTGAGTGGGCATGGTGGACGAGGTTCTTGGACATGGCAATGTTGCATCGGTTGTCATACCAAGAAGTAGTGGGGCCAGCTTGTGCACATCCCAACTCAGCAAGTAACTGTAAGCGACTTATTTTTCCATTCTACTTTAGTCACTTAACCACACCTTCGACCACTTGGAGAAGTCTCACTCACAACCTCCTTAAGTCCAATTCAGGGCTTGGGACTTACTATCCCCAAGAATGGCATCCATGCCACTCAACACTTGCACCTAGTCCAAGTGCTCCACGTGTCCGGTCCCAAGACCGACACCCAAAGGCACCACTGACATATCGGCCCGTTACGCTAAGGCCATGCCCATTCACCTTTGCCGCACTAGTGGTCCAATACCACTTGCATCACAATCCCGTCTCTTCAAGACTGGGCCATCCGTCCACGAGTGGTTAACCCAGATTCACTCTTTAGCATCCTTAGGATGCCCACAGACATGGGGAATAGCCTTCCCCAATATCCCTTTGTCAGTTCCTACCAAGTCCCTTTTCTGTCCATGGCCATGTTCGCCAACACTACCACTCGGTCAAGGCCCACAGGCCCGACCACTAAGTCCCATGGTCCTCTAGGACTTCCTCACCATGTGACTGTATCCTTAGTCACCACACTAGAGGACTGCTCTTCCTCCTTTCTCCATTTGGGACTCTGGGACAACATTTCGAAACACCGTGGGCCTACGCGAGCCCCGTGGGTACTCTCCCCGCCTTCTGCCTTTAGGTGCTTTAGCCATGGGCTTAGAGCGAGGTTCCGTTGAGCCATGCCTGGTATCCAAGTAGGTAGTGCCACCCACACTTGGACTGGGAGCATTGGCCAGTCGATCTCCCGGGGGAACTAGAGCCTGCTCTTGAACACTTCACCAAGCTACCCCGCTTGTCGGTCCGTATTCACTCTAGTCTTGGACTTCCCAGTGGTCAACTCATCACCCAACACTGGGTCTGGCCTTCTTGGGCCAAACTGGCCTTTCCTGGCTAAACTGGCTCCATTGTAGTCCTCCCCCTTTACTTTTGGAGCTCACCAAACCCCCCAGGGTCTGGGAGACGAGTGCTTTGGGCTTTCACCCTCTCAGACTCGAACTCGGACTCGGACTCGGACTCGGACTCGGACTCGGGCTCGGGCTCGGTCTCAGCCTTGGCCTCAGTCTCAGTCTCGGTCCCAGTCCCGGTCTCGGTCTCGGTCCCGGTCTCGGTCTCGGTCTCGGTCTCAGTCCCGGTCTTGGTCTCGACCTCGGACTCCATCTCGGGTCCTTCTCGGACTCCATCTCGGACTCCATCTCAGACTCCGTCTCGGTCCATCTTGGACTCCATCTCAGACTCCATCTCGGACTCCGTCTCGGTCCATCTCGGACTCCATCTCGGGTCCATCTCGGACTCCGTCTCGGTCCACCTCGGACTCCACTTCGGGTCCATCTCGGACTCCATATCGGACTCCATCTCGGACTCCACTTTGGACTCCATATCAGACTCCACTTCGGGTCCATCTCGGACTCCAACTAGGGTCTGCCTCGGACTCCATCTCGGACACTTCCACGTGTCATGTGTTAGTCCTTTTTGGGTCCCTTTTTGGAGCCTTGCTTATTGCTCGCTTCGTGCTTGCTCCTTGAGCACTTTGTTGGGAGTTCCACTCCCGCTCTCGACCTTCCAAGTCAGAGCTTTTAGTCCAAACGTGTTACACTCGTTTGGGCTTTTGCTTCGGCCACTACCACATGGCACCCTTTCCGGCTCCACTTTGGGGCCTAGGGATTTTGTGTCTCACAACTCCACCACCCATAGACAAAGTTCGATGTCCTCATCGAACGGTAAACCATTTTATAGAGTAACACCCGCATGTGTTACCATTTCCATCCTTGGCCCCTAGCCAATATTTATCAATGGTTTGACATTGAAGGCTCACCATGCCTTCTCCATATTCGTCAATGGTTCGACACCAAAGGCTCACCATGCCTTGCCCATCCTCTAAGGAGGATAGTCTCTCCAACTTAGAGACTCACT